CAGCCTCAGCTCTATTTGAAAACTGCTATCAACATCTTTTCATGCCTCTGTGTTTCTCAGTGTTTCTGTGTTAGGTGATGGGCTTACTGCAAAGACATGGTCTGAATAGGCCATGACGCCAACTCCACTGCGCCTGTTGCCCATGGAGGCGATCAGTGTCCACTGGTTGATCTCTGGGTTGTAACATTCAGCCGTTGACAGGCATTCGTTCCCATTGAAGCCGCCACAAATGTACACCTGGAGAGAATTCAAGAGGTGGTCATTTTGTGAAATGGTTTACTAGACTTATTTTTGTTCAATGTAACTTCATGTTTTTCTTTATGCAAGCCCAAATGCTCGTAGAGTCAAACAAGAAATGTGCAACTTCTGTGCTTTCCCTGCCCCAACATAGATCCATCTCAGTTATTCTCAGCTGCTCTTCAGCTCAACCCACCTTGCCATGAAGAGTTGTGCAACTGGCGTCACTCCTCTGCTCGTGCATGGATGCAATTAAAGTCCACTGATTGGTTCTAGGTTGATAGCGCTCAGCAGTTTCAAGTCGATCGTGTCCATCATAACCTCCCATGGCGTATATGTACCCATCCATCACAGTGACGCTGACATAGCATCGTCTGGAATGCATTGGTGCTACCTCCTGCCAGGTGTGCATGTCCAGATCAAACCTGTACATACTGCTGAACTGTTCAACACCGTTAAAGCCACCCACACAGTACACTGATCCATTGAGGAAAGCAGTGCCATGGTAGGCCCGAGGAGCCTCCTCATCATCAGTTACACTGACCCAGCACTGTGCACGGACATCGTACGCCTCGATGCCATTGGTGGGACTGCCACCACTCCAGCCTCCAATGGCCAACAGGACTGCCGGGGGCAGGCGTGGACGGGCCAAAGAATGAAAAGAAATAGAGCTGGAGCACCTCTTTGTTCTAATATCAAGCATGGCATCCATGGTCTTAAGGAGAATTTGTCGACACTCTCCACTCGCCTTCACCACTTCGTTGTCAGTCACATTCTCCATCATGTATTCTGGACTCATCAAAGCCAGCCTGACCTGCACAGAGACATGAAGACAGCATAGAGCATGACCAATACTCCGGCATGGCTAGTATTATCAGCTGATTTTTGCTTATCTTAAATAACTTCTGTTCACAGAGTCATCAAAATAGTAGTATAG